GCCTGCAGCAGCTCCCAGCGCTCGATCACACCTGCACAACACAGACGACACAAATGCATCTGGGTCACACTTTATAGTAGCTGTATTCAAATGTATTCAAAAATACACATTATATGATGCATCAGACAAAAGAAAATCAAAATGCATCATTTATTATTTTCTTAATAAAATATTCCTTTTATTATAAAATGCATGCTATTCTAAAGAGAAGTGTTTTTCTCATCCATAATATAGCTTGATCATAATGAAAGCTGCATCTTCATGATCAGATGCAAGTCTCACTCAATATTACTACTGAATATAAATTTTTTTAATTGAATTTAAAACATTCAAAATAGTTTAAATTTGTTATGAAACTTTCATATTCTACCTTTCCTCCTAGCCAATCTTTTATGCAACATATAATGTTTATAATGACACACTATGGCTTATATACTATCAGCATTAGTTTTAAAGAGAAGTTTTAGGACTGCATGTATTTATGTGCATGGCTCAGAATATTATCTGGTTTTGTACCTGAAGTTTGGGACTCTGAGCTGTTGGGGTTGACGAAACCTGATATCTTGTCTTCCTCTTCTTTCAGCTCAAATCCCACTCGCTTTACTGCGTCTATACTGCCACGACATTCTTCAAGAAGACGCATCTGAGAGAGAAATAAATATAAATTAATTTAGCAAATGCTTTCTTATTCAAACCAGTGACAATTCCCCTAATATAGTCCTATATAGATTATTACTCACATAACCCATGTAGGTGGCGTCCAGCTCAGGGCCGGTGGGAGTCCGGCTGCGTATGATGTTCTCCGTCTGCTGCAGATGGAAGCAGCTGGTGTTTAGAACTTTATCCAGCTGTCTGATGTGAGTCTCCAGTGATCCAGCGTCACCTGTAGAGGAACATCACATTAGTTATCAATGGTGGAACAACAGGAAGTTGCTCTGAGCTGCGTTTGGAACCGTGTTCTCTTTCTCAGGCCTGATGCAGTGCATGATCAAGAGATGGACGTCACATGATTGCTTTCTCATTAGTCAAACATACTAGGTGCTTCTAATCAAATGTATCATTAGTCAAAGCAGTTTACAATCAGAGTGAATATACACACTGCTCTTCAGGATGGCATCTAATACAGCACTTTTAGAAATGTTTGTTCACCTTTATTTATCCAGGCAATTCGATTAGGAATTGTTTTCTTATTTACAAATGGAGATTTGATAGTGATAGACCGATTCATTGGATGATCATTTTGAGCGGGTCACTTGTGTTTTAAAATCTGCTGACTTAAAGCTTTTTTTGCATTAACATATTTTCATGGCAATTTACTACAGAATTATCATTAATAGAATATGTCCATTCTCATTACTGTGATGCAAAAATATTATTTAAATTTTGCATTTTTAAAAATGCACAAAACGCTATTTTAAACCAGTGT